CCTACCTCTCTGAAAGAGAGCTACTTCCTGTGTGTTTGTCTTTATATAGTCTTTCTGTTCTGCCTTCTCATTGGTTGTAAACCGAACACGTGAAACAGAGGTCATAAGAGGATAACAAATTCCCTGCAGCTAGATTTACAGGTATTTGTGAACTGTTATTTGGAGTCTGGTATTCACACAGGGGTCCTCTGGAAGAACAGCTAGTGCTCTTAACTGCTGAGCCATGTCCAACAACCTACATGTGCTCACCACCGAGCTCCAAGTTGAGATAGCTGCTCACCCATGTTCCCATTCACCCCTAACGGGGCAGCAGAGACACAGCAGGTACAAGTGGCCAGGACCCCTGCTGCCAGCTCAAGGAGGTTTCAGGGGGCAGTGGCATGGCACTGGTCAAGAAGGAGAGCAAATTCCTTAACTGCTTGGTCAGCAAGGACACAGATCATATCCAGCACTCCCTCCCCTTCACCTGCAGCAGCAGCAGCTGAGCAATGGCTCCCACATCACCTCCATGCACTGCAAGACCAGGCTGTGCCAAGCATTCAAGAAGAGCAGAAGATGCAAGTAAGGGGAGAAGTGCCAGTTCGCAGGGGTTCCATGAGCTGTGCAGGCTCACTCGGCTTCCATGAATAAGACCCGTGCTCTGCTACACTGTCCACAGATCACCTTCTGCCCTCTGGTCCAGGCTGCCATATCATCCAGACAGCAGGGAAGCTGCAGCCGGGAACTACTGTGGGAAGTTGTGGAGTTGGGTCACTCTACAGACCTGTGAGCTGTGACTGTGTAATATAATAAAGTGCATAATTTTAAAAGCCAGGTGGTCATATCTGCTTTTGAGATTTATGAAACCATGGGTCTCTTACTTGAGCAGAAATGAAGCAGAGGTTAAAAAATATCAGTGGTCTCTAATGGTAAAATTGAAATGAATACACAGATATTTGTGGACTAAAATCAAGACTATGGCATTGACAAGTGATAAAATGAATAAAAGTATAACATTCCCTTTTTATGAAAAATAACACATCGTTATTTTTCCTTAAAGGCTCAAGAAGAGAGTAAGTACCGACTCCTGGAACCAGAGGTCACCCTGGAGAACTCTAATCACAGAAACGCTTGAACTGTTG